TACTCAAGGGCACACTAGTAGTGGTGTTCCAGGCAGGATTTGAACTCGCAACCTTCCGATCATCAGCCCACCTCACTATCCATTAGACCACCACCACCACCACCAAAAAAAAAAAAGAATTAAAAAAAAAGAGAGAATAATAATAATTTTCTTTTTTTTTATGAGACCCATTTGTGGCGAACGATATTTAATTGTGGCGGCCCGCCAATACTCAAAATCCACGGGCGCTGTACAATAGCTGCCCACTGCTCCTTGCACTAGGATGGGTTAAATGCAGAGGTCCAATTTCACTGTGTGCATGTATTCGTGACCACTAAAGAGGGTTTCATCCCCCAATTCTACCTAAAATGATAACGAGATAACTGATACCGTTAGTAAAAACCACAAATTAATGCTTTGGCGAGTGTGCTCACAAAAAGGCATGTTGTAAAATGTTGTTTTCTGAATGGAGATCTGATGGATCAGGCTTAGCCAACATAAAGCTGCTCCGTCCACACTCACAACAACGTCATACAGACATCACTAAAGCAGCGACTGTATTCGCCATGCAATAGACATTCAGTGGTATTTACATTTAGAACTTTTCTCCTGTTTCTGAACAGAAATGATGAACTGTGATGTTTGTGGGCCGTCTCCCAGAGCCAAAGGCTGCTGTTTTGGTTTTTTGATTCAACAGCGTCAGTGATGTCTGGCTGATATTCTCAACGCCTCATCGCATCCGGTGTGAACGCATCTTTGGTGTGTTTGATAAAGAAAAGTAAACTTACTTTTGTCCGGAGGGACAAACATGCCCTCGATGTAGCGCGGCCTGTCATGGAAGAAGGCACAGTGTGGCTTCTGGCAGCCGGCTGACTGGCTCTCCCAATAACAAGGTATCTCCTTCCGGTTTTTCTGTTTCAATTAAAAAGGTTAGCAACATGTTGATTAAATCACATCTCAATCAGAGGCATGTCCATAATGTTGCCATTATTATATTTGCATTATATAATTGTGTGTTTGTACTTCCTTTGTAGAGTGGCAGTCCTACAGCTAGCCAGCTTATCCAAAGTAATTATTTTTAAGCTTCGATCTAGTGCCACCTATTTAGCAATACTAAACGTTAGCTAGCTATTTTGTTTCTTATAGCAAAATATGGTATAGTGATTAAACAGAGAAGATTAAAAGTGTGTGGCCTTTAACTTTGGCCTGCAAAGGTGTGGTTATTACCCTGATGTGTAGGAGGAAGAGCCATATTACATAAGCCTCATCTTCAAGGCACACCTTCAGATGTAATGCAGGTTTTAGAAATGTACAGTACAGTGATGTTCTAGTACAGTGAAGAAAGGAGCTTCACATGGTTTTACTGCACTCAAAATCACATGAAGCTTACCAACAAAATGCTAACATTTGTTTAATTTTTATTAAAATAATGATTAATGCAGGTTAATAGTAATGCAAATATTTAATGGACCTTGTTTATTGTAATACTGCATACTGACAAGCGTGTTGTGTGATGACTTCACAGTTCACTTAGTGTTCAGGTAAACTCAGGTTTACAGGGAGACTATTGGACTATTTCCACTACAGCGCGGTTTAAAGGTGCCGTGCCCGGCCCATTTTTGGTTGCGTTTCCACTAGGCGTAGTTCAGGCTAGCGGGTACTTTTTAACAGTTTTTCTGGCTCTCCAAAATCGAGGTTCTTTCCGGGCCAACAACCAGGGCTGAGTATGCTAAACTAGTGAGAGAATCGCTGGCAACTACAACAAAATGAACATATTTGACCGTGATTTAATTGTAATACACGTTTCAAAATGATGCCGAAGTAACAACATACTGATACCGGTTAGTAAAAACCATGAATTAACGCTTTGACAAGTCTGCAGACAGACGGCAGGCGAAAAAACTTTTAAAATGCGTGTTTTCTGAATGCAGATCGGCTAAGCTAACGCAGTATATGCTCCGACCGTCCACACTCACAACAACGGCCTACAGACATAAATAAAACAGCGACTGTATTCGCCATGACACAGACAGTATGTGGTTTGTACTTGTTTAACTGTTGTCTAGTTTCTGAACAGATATTAGGAGCTGTGAGCTCTGAGTGCTAAGAGCTAACGGCTGATGTTGGTTTTGTGTTTCGCATTGAAGATGACGTCACGGCTCTGCCTACACTGTGTTACTATAGTTACCGCCCCAGCTACTAGACTGTAATGGAAACGCAGCATAAAGTGAGCCTGGCCTAACAAGGCCTAGCCATACCGTACC